GGGGGGGGGGGGGGGGGGGGGGGGGGGGGGGGTCATGTTGTTCCTGTTGCTCTGCTGTCAGTGCAGCAGAGACACCTCTCCGAATAGCTGTCAGAATGACTGTCTCTACCTGGGCCGACAGCCTGTAGACAAATCTGGTGCCTGGATGAGGCACTGAGAACAGGTACACTGTTGACTGTCCGCAGGATTGGCAGGTGGCTACATATTTTGTCCCCACACAGCAAAATGACAGTGTTTTTCTCTATTACTGTATTAAGTTTTAAACGTAATTTTGTAGGTCTGGCGTGGCTGTATAGTCATGCATCCTTCGCGATACATTTGAATGAAAGGTACTCTGAATCGCAAACATTGCATCAGGAACTGAAGACATGTTCTAAAATAATGTAACTTACCTCTCTGCAGATGGTCCCTCCTTCAAACAGACAGCAGGACCCAGCAGACAGATTCTACAAGGTATGGCAAGGCACTTGTCCATTTCTGTTCCACGAAGCTGGCTTCATAGTTTTCCTTTAACATAGTATTTGTGTTTAAAACGTTAGCCTTCCTAGTCAATTTTCTTATATGTCAGTTTATGGATAAATAACACTTATTAGCCTATGACAGGTTTTAGCATCAATTTTCTTCCTTTTCAACTTTATAATGTACTAAAAGACATTCTTTTATTTTAATTGTCAGTTGGCTATTTTCTCAGATGTAATAAGGAGAATAAAATATTCAGAAACGATACTGCATAAGTATAAATGCTACCCATCCCAATGACTATAGTAACATCATAGTAGTATATTTACCTTTGCAGGATTATTAAATAATTTTTCCAAGAATAATATTCCATATGTATTTATGTTGTGGAAAATTTAGTGCTACAAATGCAATGCATCCAAACCCAAAGATGTTCAGTGGCCATAGTGAACCCCAATGTAAACTGTGGCTTTTGGGTGACAATGATGTGTGGACGATGTTTCATCAGTTGTAACAAATGTACACCCTGGTAGGGATGTTGACGATGAGGAGGCTGTGCATGTGTGGGGGCAGACGGTGTAAAAATCTCATTAATTTTCCTGTGAACCTAAAACTTCTCTCAAAAATAAAGTCTATTATATTTTTAAAAAATGTAATGCAGAGTGAGACCTCAGTTATATCCACAGGCATCAAAAATGATACCTAAACAGGAGCTTACTATCATGTTAAACAGTGTATTCCCAAATTTGACGAGCCAGAGAAGATCCGTCTTGCCTGTTCCTGTTTGGGGATGGGAACCAATCTTTGGTCGGAATTTCCACTTAGACTTCATTGTCCAGTTTTCTGAGTCCCAGCTGCCCATCTTTCTGCCTTTATGAACTTGACTTCGGCCTGACCTTCTCAGTACTTTGTGATCCGGTCCCGCTACACCTACTTATCTCCCCTGCTTCCGAGGCAGCTCTCGCTTTTGACATTTCCCTGTAAATCTGCTCCTCTATACTGAGGAGGTTATTTCAGGCACTTCAACGTGTCTTCCAGTCCCCAGTTTCCCATTTGCAAAATGTACAGAATTGTCTTAAAACAGCCTTTGCTGAAATAGCTTGTAATGATGCATAGGGAGTGCGTCTGTATCCAATGCTGTCAACGAGCCTGGATAATGAGAGTTCATTTTTAGTTGAGAAATCATCACTGTGTGAGGGAGGTTAGATTTGCCTTCCTAATTATCTTCTATACAGCTGTTGTGAACATTAGTTTATATTCTCTAAGTGCCCACCAATTTCTGGTGGCTGCGGCAGCCCAGCAGATGGCTGAGGACAGGGATGACCGCCTGCTACTACACCCTTTCCGTACAGATGCTCCCACGTGGAGAACTGATGAGCTGAACTTGTCAGCTTCTTGCCGCATTTCATATTGCTAAGAAAACCAGTGGTCAGGTCAGCAAATGAGATGCAGCCAGGACTTCCCAAAGGAAAATAAAAAACAAACAGTTCTTTTCTTTTTCTTCTGATGTTTAGAGCTGTGTTCAATTCTGATCCCACCGAAACACTGATTAAAAAATAATAAAGATTTAAAAATCACACATGTCACTTAAGAGTTTTGAAGCGTAGGGCCCCTCAATCCACTTTGCTGTGTATCTTTCTCCAGTTAATTTTAAAGCTTAAGGTGATCCCAACACTTATTATTCTTTGCTATTGAAATACCCTAGGGAAATGAAATATATTTTCCTATAAGGGTGCCTCTAACATATTTTTGTGATAGAAAAAAGCCATTGTTTTCTTTTTTTTTCCTAAAGAATTGTTACAAAGGTTAAAAAAAAAAGAGCCATTGTTTTTTTGAAGAATTGTTATAAAGGTCAATACCCTATCCCAGCGATTTGCAAGAATTTTTAAAACATGCAATTCCTGACTATTTAGTCAGGGGCACTGACCTCTTTTTCTTTAAGTGGTTGAATAAAAAAATGACAATAGTCATCTGATGTGAATGCCCTGTTTTGAACCATAAATATACAGGTTATACAATAGAGTTGCATCTTATTAGTTATATTGCATAATTGCATATTAAGGTTGCATCTGGTAGGTTAATTCTTGGTACCAGAAATCCTAATATACAAGTATAGGTACCTGACTTTTTAAAAAGTTACTTTGGAGCTAAAAAGGGTAGGTAGTTATTATTACTATTTGTGTGTGAGTCATTAAAAATTATATCTATTGTCAGATTGGCAAAAAAATGTATTTTTTTGGTGTGCTACAGAATTTTAGTAATTGGTTTATGTGTGCCATGAGATGAAAAAGGTTGAAAATTGTTACCCTATACAATGAAAAAGTAATAGGTACTGAGGAATGGATTACATTTGCTATAATACTTGATATAAAATTCCACGGTGGCAGATGAATTGAAATGTATTTTCCCAGAGTGCATTAGGATTTGATTGGACTGGTTAGTAGTCCATTTTTATTTATTTATTTTTAAAAAATATATTTTATTGATTTTTTACAGAGAGGAAGGGAGAGGGATAGAGAGTTAGAAACATCGATGAGAGAGAAACATCGATCAGCCGCCTCCTGCACACTCCCCACTGGGGATGTGCCCGCAACCAAGGTACATGCCCTTGACCGGATTCGAACCTGGGACCCTTGAGTCCGCAGGCCGACGCTCTATCCACTGAGCCAAACCGGCCAGGGCTAATAGTCCATTTTTAAATTATTAGGAAGTGTTTTCAAGTTTAAGCAAATGTATATTTTACATCTAAAAAATTGTCAGTGAATAAAAAACAAGAAAAATAAGTATTTCTAAGGTAGACCATGCTTTTTACACGTTAGATCAGGGGTGGGCAAACTTTTTGACTCGAGGGCCACAATGGGTTCTTAAACTGGACCAGAGGGCCGGAACAAAAGCATGGATGGAGTGTTTGTGTGAACTAATATAAATTCAAAGTAAACATTATTACATAAAAGGGTACGGTCTTTTTTTTTTTAGTTTTATTCATTTCAAACGGGCCGGATCCGGCCCGCGGGCCATAGTTTGCCCACGGCTGTGTTAGATATTTCTTTTCAGCTAAAGTAGTTGATGCTGTTGAAGAATGTTCTATTTTTAGCAAGGTCTCGTTGAAGTTGTATAGGGCAGCGATTTTCAACCTTTTTCATCTCATGGCACACATAAACCAATTACTAAAATTCCGTGGCACACAAAAAAATGTATTTTAAGAGACATTTTAAGAAATGGTGTTTTGCCATACAGTACATTTTATCTATTAAAGATCTAAATGTTGAATAATCTGCTGGTTAAATACTTAGTTAAACTTGCTTCTTGACATTTTAAAATGGTTTTTCCATCGTGTCAATTCTTAAATGTTAATATTATATCTAGGTTCTTAGACCGTTAGAATCCTACTAATTTAATATTTAATTATTAAAAGTTCAAATATATTTACATCCAATTTAAAATATTAAAATTCCTACTTTTATATCAAGTTCGAGCTCTGTAACTTGAGGTAACAAAGTCTTCAGGATAATTAATAAGTTTGTCAGGTTTAATAGTTAAGGTCTGTAATTCGTCTCAGATGGTAATTTTAGTGACCAGCAGGGGGCTCTCTGTGTCCATGATCCGTAAGTTTTAGCGATGTTTTCTTGACAGGTTCTGCCAATGACGTTTTTTTCTAAATTGTTAACTTCTGGGCTCTTTTAACCAGAAATGAATGTGCACAAATGATTTTTAGAATCCATGCCTTGCTCCGCTTCCTCCTTATGGTACTCTGCATCAGGTGTAGTGAGCCTTGCTGATTGAAACAGAAAAGAGTATTCCAGTCCCCAAGGTTCTATTACTTCATTACTAACAGTTAATCCACAGCCTTGCCATTTTCAAATTAGTACGTAGGACTTAATATGGGAAATAAGATCGTTTCAAGAAATGTTTGCGTTGCCAGTTGCTCAGCTGTGTTTGTGTTTTGATCCCGATGATCTGTGTGTAGGTGTGTTCCTGCACATTCTAGCAGACACGCTGGGGAGCATCGGGGTGATCGCGTCCGCCATCCTGATGCAGAACTTTGGTCTGATGATTGCAGACCCTATTTGCTCCATCCTCATAGCCATGCTCATCGTCGTGAGGTAGGTGTCGGTGTGTTGCTTTGGAAGTCATTACGTTGACAAAGAAACTTGACGAAGTGTAGAAAAGGGTAAGGGAAAAAGCACCTCTCATTCCACCAGCCAGAACTGTGTGATAATGTTGTGGGTGTCACTTCAGCTTTTCTCTTTTACGCTAAGCCTCTGTTTTGTGGTGTTATTTTTTTTGTTTTGTTTTGTTTTGTTTGTATTATGTGTAAAATTATATTCTGAGTAAGAAAACTTTTTTTAGCTTTTTCTGATTATAAACTTATAGTCAATATAGAAAACTTGGAAAGGGATGAGAAGTATAAAGAAAAATCAGTCGGGAGGACAACACCTGGAGGTGACATTTCCACGGTTAACAGTATTTCTTTAGTCATTTTTAGGCTTTTTTTTTTTTTTTTTTTTTACTTTATTGAATCTCTGCTTTCTGTGCTGATTGTTGAGCTTGGCCAGCATTAGCGTATACCCAGCTTCCGGGTGAGAGGTAGTACAGCTGTTTTTTTAAGTCCATAGAGTTTTGGGGTGATTAGTTAGCTAGCAAGGTCTTAATTCAATGACAATAAATGATAACAATGTACAGAGCAACGCATAAGGATGGTTCATTATTATTATTTTTAATATGTTTATTTTTAGAGAGGGAGGAGGGGAGAGGATAGATAGAAATATCAGTGATGAGAGAGAATCATTGGTTGGCTGCCTTCTGCACGCCCCCTACTGGGAATCAAGCCCACAACCCGGGCATGTGCCCTGACTGGGAATTGAACCGGCAACCTCTTGGTGCATGGGATGACGCTCAACTAACTGAGCCACTCCAGCCAGGCAAGAGTGATTCATTATTGTAAAGCACATATTTCTCTTTACATAGATGAGGGGGGAAATATATATAGCTTGTGTATAGTACTGTAGTGTGTGTGTTTGTGTGTGTGTGTATATATATGTATATATGTATATATATGTGTGTGTGTGTGTGTATATATATGTGTGTGTACATACATACATATACATATATATTCAACCCTGAATGCTATGTGGGTCTCTCCAGGTATAATTATAAAATTATGCTCTTCCTTAATGTCTTCAAGGCAAACCAACATTTCTGACTTGACCTTAAAAAGACATCATTTTTTTTAAATGGAGGGCAATAAAAAACCTTTAGCTTCAAAGTGCAAAATAAAGACATTCCAATTATCTACTTTTCTGTTAAGAAAGCAAACTTAATTTATGTAAATGTTCACATGATAATGAAATATTTGCAAGATCACTCTGAGATGTTTTTCAAATTGGTCTAAAGACTTTGCCTGATTAGCCAAAGCCAATTTTAGGAAATAAATGAAAACCCTTTACAGCCACAACAAAATAGAGCATAAAGAAGTCATTTCCCCTTACCCTTAATTTTTATATATATTTGCAATTCATCAAGAGCAAAAGAACTAATGGGACTTTATACATTCTCTGCATATAAATGTTCCTCAGTGGAGAGCCTGCCATGGAAATGGATGTCTCCCTTCCAGGCTGCCTGCCCAATGTCCCATTTTCACTTGAGCAGCGAAAGTGATTGCTTAGAAAAAGACAGTTCTTCTCCCCACATTTCCTAGCGCAGGCAAATGGTGATAGATGTTTCTGGGTAAGACTGGGTGGTGCTGTGATGAATTTCGTTTCCCAGGAAAAGCAGCAGATTGAGTATGACAATGAGAGTGCAGTTGTTATCTTCCGAAATGGACGCTTCTCGCAAGAGGCTTCAGAATGGCTTTGCTCCTTTTTCCCATCAGCAGCTGAATTGGAATGGAGAGTAGATTCGTGACTTAGATGCAGACCTTTGAACAGTCAGTAGTAACTGAATTTCTCTTTAAAGCGATGCCCTTTGCCCAGATCTGTGGCTTGATTTCTGAGTTACTTAAATAAAAGGGGTACCTATGCATGATGGGAAAAAACACACAAACAGGATGCAGAAATGAGCTGGTACTGGGTGGTATTTCCAAAGCCTTGCTGAAATGGTTTAAATTAGTTTTCTGTAGCTCACCAGGTACCATCTCACGCTGCTTTGTGCCTCTTAACTGTAATCATTTGTTAATACAAAGAAAAGGTGCAAAACTTTTCAATCTTTTCCTTCTTGTCATATTGAAGACACAAATAGCTCAACTTTTAGAGGCAAACTAGGGCAATAGGCTTTAGAAATGACAGATAATGGTCATAAGAGAGGTACGGGATGGAAAGCCTGTGTACTAGTGAAACCAAATTATGAATTTGAAATTCTAAATCATAGGTGATCATCCATGTTCATGAAGATAGGATTTGGACCAGATACTGGTTTTGATAAATCTTGTTGATTCTGTGGTCAAATAGGTAATTACTCAAAGCCGATATTAAGTAAACGTAAGCATTTTTTTTAACATGTAAAAAGCTACCATATCATTTATGAGAAATTGTGGAGATACACTTTTTTTAAAGAAATGGCTTTGGGTGGTGTCTGAAAGCTTCCTTTGTGGTTTGCCTTTCAAGTGGGTATCATTTGAGAACTGTACTTTTCGGAACTAAGATAGAGTTTCTCAGGATTTTAACTTGGTGCTTGTATGTGTATCCACAGTGGGAACATTTTCGCCTAGTAATTGTATTTTTTAATCATATATAAAACCATGAGAGAACATTTGTAAGTACTGATTCATCTAACACCCTTTCTCAGACATCATTCTGGGAATGCCCTAATACAGCGGTTGCCAACCTTTTGGACCTCACGGACCGCCAGTGGTCCACAGACCAGTGGTTGGCGACCACTGCCCTAATACGTTACAGCATCCATGTGTGTGTGACTGTTAGCTTCTCACCTACACCTCTAGGAAGTACTGATCATGCACTGTTCTTGGGGGAACTGAGAAATGTCACTCAGGTCATTCCTTGTGTTCGGTGGTTCAGATGAAGCGCCCTAGGGAAGCAAGGCTGGCACATGGAGTGTTCTCCCCGATCGACTACATGTCAGGTCACAAAAGAAGACCTAACAGCGATTCCAACATCTTCTTAAGGTCATGTAAGGTTCCTGGCAAGCAGTCCTGGAAACATTCGAAAGCACAGAGCCCATGCAGTAGTGTGTTAGTGATCATTAGCCAATAACATGAGAGATGCCCAAACTGGCAGGTGCAGACACCAACCATCCATTAGACTTTGCAGTACCACCGACAGACACCAGGTGGAACCCTAGGACTGATTTCCTGCCGCTGCAGAAGGCCTAGTATTGCAGACAAGAACTCCTGAGTAGAAGCCATCAACCTTTCCAATAGGAGTCACCATGCACCTGCCAGACAGGACACAGAGGTCTCAGGATCTCCCGCCAGGCTACGGAGAGACAGACCTCCCGTAAGAAGCCAGACCACAAAGTCTGGAGTCGTGGCTGATTCTTCAGATACTGAAACCCAAACAAAAAAATAAGAGATACAAAGAAACGGCCAACTATGGCACATTTAAAGGAAACGATTCAGTCTCCAGAAGCAAACCTACAAAAAGGAGACATATCAATAGCCGGATACAGAATTCAAAATTACCATCAGAAGGGTGCCCAGTTGATGGAAAGAAAGCACAGACACGAAACAAAAGCAGAAAAACGGTACATGAACAAAATGAGAATATCAGCCGAGGGAGAGAACCTATTGAGGAGAGCCCAGCAGACATTCTGGAACTGAAGGATGATAATAACTGGATTGATTTCCCCGGAGGGACGCAACAGCAGATTTGACCAGGCAGAAGGAAGAAGCAGTGAACTCAGATATAGAACTTAAAAAATGACTGAGGCAGAGGAGGAAATCAGTCAGTCAGTCACATAGAGGGTCAGCAAGGAAAGCGACTTGAACAGCACTGAGGCCCATGCGTAGCAGCCAGATACAAACCACTCCACCCCACCACAGCAGAGCACGCATTCTCACACCCACGCGGAGTGTTCCCCCCGATAGCTACATGTCAGGTCACAAAAGAAGACCTGACAGTGATTCCAGCATTGCCTTACGGTCACTTAAGGCCGCCGTGAGGATCAAGTTAGAAAAATGTATGAAAGCACTTTAGGAATTATTAAGTGTTGTCTAAACAAAGACGCTGCTAATTGTTTACAACTTGGCATTATTTACTAATGCTTTCGGTTTAAAGATCAGATGCGTGACATGTTACAGCTGAGTTCCAGAAGTTTCAGGAAAAGGCGACCTTTTTGTGGCTGTGGCTCCAAGTTGAGGGTATTTTAGGGCGTCTTCTTCCATTACTGATACAGTAGGTCCTCTCGAGATGCACTGGTAAGCCATTGGCCTGGAAAGTTAGTATAATTGTAAGGTAAGCCACTGGCCTTGTGGTTTGGGGTTATCTGTTCTATGTTAGGCTTAGGAAATTCTGGGTTAATAGTCATTGTCTATTACCACGGAATACTTGTATTTATGCAAAAGTGACAGCATCTCACAGCCCGCCACAGGACCACACGGCTAAGTGGAGGGTACATTACAATTTTGGGTCAGTTTTTTTTGGCTTTTTGTCCACTAAACATTTTGGGGTATGTGACATACACCAGGCCTTCACATGTGTGCGTTCTTCTAAGAAGTACAACTATCTTTGTCTGTGTGTGTCTATTATAAGAACCACTGATAACGTGCAGGAGGACTTGGCTCAGAAGCCAGATAAAGGAGCTGAAGTGGGAATTATGTTTCAGTCGTTACTATTAGGTATTTATTCTCAGGTCTAAGCAGTTTCAGTTCCTATTGTTACACATGATCATCACCGGGCGGGTGTTCTTCAGAAGTTTCCTGCCGGAGACCCTCCTGTTGGAAGGGGAGGCTCTTCCACAAAAGCCACTTTTGAAGTAAGAACTGAATGTATTTCATTGGCAAAATTACTAGCCACAGAGAATAATGACTAACGTGCTTATTTAGTCTGCTAGGATTTCCGCTGTCACATTTAAATTTACACTTAAGATCGTATGATTATAAATTTGATTTGCCTTCAGCTTTTGAAGAATAAAGTCATTACCCTGTTTTACTGGTAAACTCAGAGCAAATGATTCATTCCTTTCTGTGTCGGCTAGGAAGGCGGCATTGCATTGTTAAAGCTGGAATCGAGTAGTCAACCAGAAGCGAACCTCTAATTGTTTCCAAATGCTTACTTTTGGGGTTTGGGGCAGCTCTGAGCCTGAGCTCAGTCAGGAATTTGCTACGCTTGTCGTTTTCCCCATATCTATCCTTTCATTATGGCTAGATACACTCATGCTCAAGTCTGCTTTACCAGGCCCCTTCACAATAGTTAATCAGAAAAATATGGACCCAAACTCCTGAGCTAAACACAATTTTAAAGGCAAAGCTAGAGTTTCTACAGGTTTCTTTTACATAGTTATGGCCTTTGAAATTATTATAGAAATTGACCTTGGTTCTGAATGGCATTTCCCCATGTGATGTAGCAAGCTCCCTTTTCTCCCACCGCGGCTTCGCGACCTAGTTACAGCTCCTGCAGCAGAAATTCTTCCATGACTCTAACATTCTCATTGGAGAAAAAGGACTGGTGCGTCCATGCGCTTTGACGACCTGCTTGCTGCTGTGGCATGTAAGCATTTCATTAAAATTCTGTCTAAACAGGCCACCGTTCCAGATGTTCTCAGGCAGCAAAATCACAACACCTGGACAGACCCTTACTAAAAGGACACTCTCCCCGTGTAATTCCTTACATTGTGACGGTCATGGTCTCCACCGACATCTCCAGGCATCAGCAGATCCTTGGGGTACAGATTGGAGAACCAGCTATCAAGTAGCTGAAGTTAAGCGGGATAGGGAGAACCCCCGCTTATTTCTTCTCGAGTGGTTCTAGGGGCTGTGTTGGTGCGTCGTTCTCTGAGAAGGACAGTGCGGAGGGAGGAAGACGGGGATTGTCAGTGAGGGTGAGAGCAGCCGCCAGGAGCCTTTTGCTGAGAATGAGGATGGAGAGGGAAGGAGGGCGTCACCTGGTTGACTTGCAGTCACTGCATGCTTTTCTTGGCCTTTTTCTACACCGGGGGGTCCTCGCCTGTGGTGACAGCGCAGTGGATGGGGCAGCCACCTCGCTCGGGTCAGAGGGTGGAGGGGCTGCGGAACCCTCATCCCCGCTTCCAGCTGCCCGCTTCCCTCCAACCTCCGTAGGAGCAGAGGACATTCCCTACAGTTTGGAGGACAGTTTGGGATCAGGAAAGATGCCCTAAAAGGGGTGACACTTGAGGTTCTAAAGAAGGAATAGAAATCAGGTTAGAGGGCCCTTTAGGGACATTCTAGGCCAGTGATGGCGAACCTATGACACGCGTGTCAGAAGTGACACGTGAACTCATTTTTTTGGTTGATTTTTCTTTGTTAAATGGCATTTAAATATATAAAATAAATATCAAAAATATAAATCTTTGTTTTACTATGGTTGCAAAAATCAAAAAATTTCTATATGTGACACGGCACCAGAGTTAAGTTAGGGTTTTTCAAAATGCTGACATGCCAAGCTCAAAAGGTTCGCCATCACTGTTAGGCAGAGGTTATGCCAAAGCATGAAAGGAAGAACCAGTGGAAAGTGAAGTACAAGTAGGTTTACGTTCAGAGCTTAAGCTGTGAGGCAGGGGTGATAGGAGGTGAAGCTAGAGGCCCGGATCCAGAAACCTGCCCCGTAGAGGAGCTGGCGCTTCCCCGGCAGCCGGGAGCTTGGGACAGGTTTCTCATGGGGAAGGGAGAGGCTCAGACTCTGGCTTTGGGTAGATGGTCTGGCAGCTTTGTAAAGAGCGCGTGTATCCATTACCCATGGACGCATAACACGCTACACAGAAGCCTAGGCGCCGCAGTAACATGCTCTCTCCGGTTGGCCTTGGTTCAGGAGCCCGGGCGTGGCTCGCGGGCTCTCCCAAAGCCGTGACCTGGGAGTCAGCCAGGCCACCTGGGGAGAACCCACTCCAGGTCACTCCGTGGTGGTTGGCAGTATTGAGTGGGGTTGGGCTTCTGCACTGAGGGTCTCAGTCCTCTCCAGGGGCATCCTCCGCCCCTGGCCCTGGGCCACCCCTGGGACAGCTCCCCACTTGGCAGCTGGGAGCCAGCACCTGAAAGCCGGCGAGGAGGGCGAAGGAGTCGGAAGCCAGAGCCTTTTCACCTGCCTTAGGAGTGACATCTCATCACTGTTGCCATCTCTGTCATGAGCAGCACGTCCTCGGCTGGTCCAGCCGCTCTCCAGGGAGGGTGCACCTGAGGACACACCGCGAGGCAGCGTCCTGGGGTCCGTCACAGTGGACCCCAGAGCGGACCGGAGGCAGGGGACCACTGAGGAGGCAGTGGGAGTAATCGGCGAAGAGAGATCAGTGTAGACACTGACCGAAGGAGGGGAGGGGAGGAGCCAGGAACGATTCGGACGCCTTGTCCTTCCCTCAAAGGTTCCGATTCACTGTCAGATGAAAACAGGTCCGACTCTAAGGTGGATCTGACTCAAAACCCCGGCTTCAGAGCCGCCCTCCCACACACTGTTCATGGTTGGCCACGTTTAACCCTCAGCATGGAGCGCAGCAAGTCCCGATCCCGGCGAGGACCGCGCCCGCCACGGAGGCGCTGGTTAACCAGAGCTGTGCTTGGGTTCAGGCCTCTATTGCTTCAGCCTGCGGTGGGGAAGGTGCGGCCCGCGGGCTGAATCAGTCCCGTGAAATCACCCCTGCCAAGGCATTAGGGGTGAGTCCATTAAATGTTTGATCAATTTTTAAGATGATAACTTTGTATGGCTCTCGAATGATGTTATAAATATCCAAATGGCCCTTGGCAGGAAAAAGGTTCCCCTCCCCAGGTTTAAATAATGAAAGAAGACACATATAATCGGGTTGGAGAAATAGTAACAACTGGACTAGTATGCCCGTATCCGTGTTTTGTATTTTCCTTAACAGCACTACTGAGCATGTGTGGACTATTGATAAAGGCGCTTCGTGGGTTGCCTTGGAAGACTGAAGTCTGTTTAAATAACAGTGGGCTGACTGCTGGTTTAGATCTCGGATGCACTACTTGTTCGGTCGTGCAAGTTTCGTGGCTAAGACATTGACACGTTAATTAGCGCTTTACTTTTACTTTAGATAATAGCTTATTGATCACATGAACACCTGGAACAAAGGCTAGATTCCTCTTCCTCATATTTCTCGGATAAACCTGACCACGTCCCACTCCGGGGGGCGGGGAGGGTACTCGACGCTCTTCCAGGACAGGCCATCAGAACGCGGCTTTAATCACCTGCGTCCTTCTCCCCAGTGTCATCCCTCTCCTGCGGGAGTCGGTGGGCGTGCTGATGCAGCGGACGCCGCCGCAGCTGGAGGGCGCCCTGCCGCAGTGCTACCAGCGGGTGAGTCTCGGCCGCCGGCCCCAGGCCTTGCTGCTGCCACACGTTAGGCCTTTAAGGGTTGAAAAATGGTGTTGCAGAAGTCGTGTGGGGGGAACGAGTGTGTTTGAGGAAGAGAAAGGCCACGTGCTGAGGCTTGGTGAAGAGAAGGTGGCGGGAAGTTTGGAGAGGGGCAGGGGACAGGGCAGGCCCAGGTTTGGGTCTAGCTGAGAGGTTAGATTTAGCTGATGAAATGGGAGCATCAGACGCTTTAGGCTGGAAGAGTGTCGTCCCAGGCACCAAGGTTGTGGGTTCGATCCCTAGTCAGGGCACATATAGGAATCAACCAACGAGCAAGCGCATCAATAAGTGGGACAACACATCGGTGTTTCTCTCTCTCTCTCTCTCTAACTAATCAATTAAAAAGAAAAAAAGAAACACTGGCTCCAGTTCACTGACCTTTCCAAACGACTAGTTTTTCCATCTTGTGAGTTCTCTCTTTTTGACTCTCTGGATCATTGATTTCGGCCTTGTATTTCCTTCTTATTTCTTTGAGTTTACTTTGTTGTTGTTTCCCTAGTTTCTTAGCTCACTTGTGTTCCTGTTTGTTCTCTGACTGATGTATTTGAACACATAAATTTATTCCAGGAACTCTCAGCCGTGCCCAACAGATTTTAGCATGTGTTCATTCCTGTTTCCCAAACACCTGCCTGTCACGGTGCCGGGCACACAATGAGTCCCAGGTTTTCATGGATTCAAACACCCCCCTTGTTTGCTAGCGGGGAGAATCTGTGCGAACTGACATGCTGCGTAGGAATCACCGTGGAAGGAGCCCCTGCACCTGAGGGTGTTAATCCCTGCCTTTCTGTTGCAGGTGCAGCACTTACAAGGAGTCTACAGTTTACAAGAACAGCACTTCTGGACCTTATGTTCTGACGTGTACGTCGGGACCTTGAAGTTAGTAGTAGCACCTGACGCTGACACCAGGTGGATTTTAAGCCAAACACATAATATTTTTACTCAGGTATGACTTTTTCACTAGCTCCTTTTAAGGGTCTTAGAATTTATTGTATCTACCGTTTTGAAAATATTTACTATTTAACATTAAATATATATATATATTTATATGCTACACTATGAAATAAGCATAGATGTATTTTTTTTTTTTCCAATCAGAGTCAAATTGGGAGAACCTTATTTTAGTTAATACTCATCATTATACTGATTTGTGTTCCTTTAAGAAAAAGTGGATTCCCCTTTGCTGTATGCTCCTTTAAGACGTGCGAGATGCTGTGTGAAGCCAGGAATTCTTAATAGCATTTGGGATAAGAAAAATGCCTTGTCCGTGGTTTCAGCTAAAAGCAGCCTCTGCCAGCGTTTTTATTTGACGGGAGGTCTGTGTCGTTCAGTAGCGTAACATGCTGTGGAGTTTCTCTTCTCACTGTTTGGGAGCACAAAGCAGCCAGTGCAGTGGCAGCGTGGTTATTTTAGTGAACGCTGGTGCCGCTGTGAGCCACAGTGACTGACAACCCGCGTGAGGGCGACCACTGTGATTCTGGATGTCCTGGGAGATTAAGACTTTATGTCAAGAACATCCCTGGGGAGAGCGAGAACACACAAAGTCTTTTCTTGGTCTGGTTCGCTGGAAATACTTAGCGAGAAACTAGATGCCAACACGGTTGCCAGTGCTATCTTAACACATAGAGCTCCCGAGGAAACGCATAGCCTGCCCTAGAAGTCTGTGCTGGAGACCTGGGAGCGCCTCCTACCGAGGCCAGCATGGCCCTCCTATCAGCGGGGATAGCTGGAGCTCATCACAGCCAGTCAGACCCGCTGGTGGGAACTTCTGCAAGGGGGTCAGCCTGGGTTCTTACCAGGTGTCAATGTCATGATTCTAGATTAGAGAGAAAGAGAGACACGTGGTATTTATAGGCATGGACAGCAAACAGAACCCGCAGCTGAGTTAGATTCAGGACCTTCTCGGAGACAAGCGCTCGCTCTTCTCCAGAAGAGAAAAGTGGGCCTGGCGCCTTTGGGACTAAATGAATCGTCGCCCACAGGCGACAGGAACTCGCTGCAGTGCCTCGCGCTTGCTGCGGGTCGAAGAACCAGGCCTCTTGGTGCACAGACACTAACAAGTCTCCGGCACGTGACTCCCATTTGGCCTGGGCTATGTCACGTGGCCATATGATACAGGCTACGTCATGTGACTTCCACGGGAAGCGGGCTAGACCTGCAGGGTGGCTGAGCTCTCTGCTGTTTCCAGATCACTGTTCTCTCCTGTAGCCTCAGTTTCCCCTGGGCATGCCCTTCCCCCCTCAGAGTGGAGCCCCCGTCGGCCTCTCCAGGACTTGGCCTGGTCACACTTGCCCTCGAGAAGGCGAGTTTCCAGGCCAGAACCGAGCGGGCAGCTGCGGGGCTGTAACCGGAGGAGAGGCTCTGCCGGGAACCCGACAAGCGCTGGCCTTTCAAACGGCCGGAGCTGAAGGTTTACTCAGCTGCTGCTTTGGTTTTGGAAACTGTATTTGGGTTTTGAACATGTCAAGCTCTGGAAAATACTTTAAGCCTTTTTGTCAGCTAAGGGCAAGCCAACTTCATTTCGTTCCTTGGAGAGACTGAGGCCCGCGGTACAGACGGACACGTTTCCCCAGCGGGGAGCGGGGTTGCCCCGCTAATGCCTCTCACTCTGCAGATTTTCGGGTGCTTTTGTGACCGCTGTTCAGCTCTGACACGTGCAGGATTGAAGCGCTTTATTCACTTACGTGCCCTTTCTGCTCATGCCCTAGCAATGCATGTCCACATGCTCTTAGTTCATCCAGGGTTTGCAGTTACGTTTCCTTCCATGAATAAAATGTAAAAAATTTTAACCTTATTTTTACATTTAAAATTACACCTGTTCATATGTCTTCTTATCAGAGGGAATCAGACTCATAACCATAACCCTGCTAGCGCTTTGGGTGCATGTCTTGCAGAGACGGGGAATGTGGCGGCCTTAGTTCCAGAGGCCAGAGGAGGGTTTTCTCAGCGATCAGTTTACTCTCTGGTTTTGTGACCTGTTTGGGTGTCTTCTTATAGCTGATTTTAAAATCAGAATTTAAGCCATCGTTTTTGGTTAAAAAGCTATTAAAATTTCTGAGGACAACTTGAAATTGAGAAGACTGATAACATCAGACGTTTGAGAAGTATGACCTTCCATTTTGTTGGGGAAGCTATGTTTTCTGACAGTTTTAGAACTGCCGATTAGGCCTGGCCTTTTCACTCTCCTTTCAGCCCATTAGTCTCCCATGGCTAAAGCCGCTGGCTGCTCGGCACGGATCTAGAATTGGCAGCCTCTTCGGTACCCAGATTCCTTCGGGAGTATTAATTAAGTGGTAATCCAGTTTTTAAACTACAAGGTTTCCTACTGACAAAGAAAAGGTCCTTTCTTTCTCCCGTTGTACCAACTCTTAAAAAAATGAGTTATCATTTGAGAATTGGTGAGATAGAAAACTTATTTTTTATGGTTAGTATTTGAACAGGAGACAGTGGGACACTGGGTTAGGAAGGCCATTTAACATTTTATGTTTCTAGTTTTAAATTGGCTGGATGAAAATCATGTCAGTTTTTTAATACACTTCTGTTTTGTGAGAAATAACGTTTGAAGAAAAATCTAGAATGTGCTTGGGGCTCATGCCCTCCTCGGTTGCCCAAGCACAGAAGGTGACCCTGCCGCATGCCATCTGCTCCCGTAGAGCCTCCTCATTTCTCCCATCCTCTCTCCTCAGCCGGCTTCCGTGGTGCCTTTAAGCCCTGAGCCCCAGCTTCCTGCTTCAGCTCTTGGTGCCCCACTCTCTAGCCTCAAAATAGAAGTCACAGCTGATACCCAGGAAGGAACCCAGAGCCTCCTCACAGGCCAGCTGGGGGCCTCAGACCCTCCGCCTCCGCCAGGCCCTCCTCCCACTCCCTTCCTGTCTCACCGGCTGCCCCATGTGTCTGCGAGGGAGGCCGGCAGGCAGCGAGAGAAGCTGCCTCCCCTTCCCAGGCGGCCGGCTCTTTCCCACCTGCTGGTGGGGGGTGGACTCGGTTATAAATTGACTTTGCTTGCGAGTCTGCCTCTTTCCTTCCCTGCCCTTTGCTTTCTTTCTTCATCACATACTGAGGTCCACCAGGACCCGGCCTCCTGAGGAGGGGAGAGAACAGCCACGGGGCGAGGCCACAGATCCTGGGTTTGTGCTGGGGGGGCCACAGGTTTAGGCGTTTGTTCGTTGACCGCTCCTGGTGGAATGGTAATAGCACCTGCGGCCTTTACTGACCGCCCCGTCTGTCCACCCAAGAGTGTTGTCCCCAGTTTATAAGGAAGGGAGCCCAGACCTCAGCCACTGCTCATGACCTGTGACCTCATCAGATTCACTGCTTACTCATTCTGAGCTGACTTAGTGGAACGTTTTGGTAGTTTTGGAGAATTGATAGAGAATACAAACCAACCAGTAATTCTCAGTAGCCACATTCCTGTTTATGTTTCCACACTTACTTCCGGTTTGTTTCCTCGCCACAACAATGGGCATTTGGTGAGGATGTTCTGAGTCTGTGGCACCAGGTTACATTTATTTTCTCGGGCGCATAGGTGTTAAAAAACTAGCTGTCTTCCCAGTTTAAACAAGTGTCCTATGAGCGGCATTATATTTGTGCATTATTCTCAGGATATAAGACAGGACTGTTCTGTGGTCCCCACTGTGTGAGGACAGTCCCCAGCCAGCCTGACTGTGCGTCAACCCAGCGGTGGGGTTGCTGAGGGGACCCGCATGGCTTTGACCAGCTGGGTGATTGTCAGGTGTCTGGAGTGAGTCAGGAACCCTAGTTTGCATTCTTTGGAAATGCCCTTTTCTCTCTCCTTTAAAGGAAATTGGGAGAGGAGAATGGGAAGCTGGCCCAGTGGAGGCTGCCCCCAGCGGGACAGGTGGAGGGCAGTGAAGGAAGCAGAGGGGCTTCTGTTAGACTGAGCTTCTGTGGGAGCTGAGCCCCTCAGGGGACAGGGAGTAATTAACTCACGATTATGCAAAGATCATTTAGCAGCCCTTTGCTTTCCTCTTTGCATTTCTTTCTCTCTTATAGCCTTGAGCTACCTCATTGCTTATCACCATAGCTCTGTATCTGCACACACACAGAAGCCTACCCGTTTCCCCCATTTTGCTTTCATTCACGGTTCTGTTAAAAGGGAAAAGAAATTAAACCATTTACTTGGGCCCCAGTTTTGTCTTCAGGTTAGACACACTAGAATTTTACAGGAGAGTTCCTAAGTATAGTTATTTTAGGGGCCATATGGATTGACTAGATCAAATATAATGAATCAATCATAATAATTTGGTTTAATAGCCCATTAGAGCATATGAAATCCTTTCTCATGTCACACTTGATCCTTATAATAGCACCTGGCATGTAGCGAGGATTTATTAAATATTTGTCAAACACTGGATGACTACATAACAATTTTGTGAGATAAGTAGGGTTGGTATTTTATCAACACTTTTAAAATAGAATAAGTGAGTTGGTTTTAACTTAAGCTCAAAATCATACAGATGTTAAGTTCTGTCTTTTTTTCTGCCACCCTCTTCAGGAGAGGGTGCTATTGAATGTATTTCTAAGAGCTTCAACTTGATCAGAGCAAGGGTTTCTTTTCTTAATGAGGCAAAAAGCGAAGATGTTTTCTGTGCTGGGGAGCTCCTGGGCCGCCCAGCTCTTTATTCCGTTAGAGAGGCCCCTTGTTCCTGGCAGACGGTGACCTCATTTTCCTGACACTCATGGACACGCTTGTCATTGGTTGCGTGGCTTTCTCTTGTAGAGGTAAATAGGGACTTTTTTTGTGATTTATGAACATACTTGTTATTCTCTATGATGAAAAACAGAGGCAGAAAAAGGAAAAAGAATTATTTCCTTTATCAAAAAAATGGGATTTTTTTTTTTTTTAATGACTTTTCTGAACTATATAGTTTGTTACTGGCTCGTTTGACTTTCTGATTTTCTTTTAACTTTTCAGGCCGGAGTGAGACAGCTTTACGTACAGATCGACTTCGCAGCCATGTAAGGAGCGAAAAACTGCTGCTTTGGGGACCGCGTTTTTCTGGTACTGTACAATCCCGAACGTTGTACCCAGCTTTCCAAGACAGGTCGTCACTACAGCGCCAGCCCCAGGTAGACCAGAACACCCGGTCAGCACTACGCGGGTGGTCACTGCTAGGGGACCAGGGCGCGGACCCTCCCCTGGACTTGGGTCCGGCCCTGTGCTCTCCCCTCCGCACCATTGTGATTTCTGAGATTCTGGCTTTGTCCCAGGGTGTTGCTTTTTGTTTGTTTCTCCTTTTTCTTTTTTTGTTTCAAATGTCCTCACGCCACCCCTCCTCTTGGCCAGTAAGAAATTCAGATTGTGGGCCTCCAGTTGTCTGGATCGTCTCCACTGAGGCTGCTGGAAACTGCTGCTCTCATTCCCACAAAACCAGTGTTCTTAAAAAAAAAAAGAGAGCCGGGAATCTGTTTTATATGTAATGTCACACTCGCTGACGTTCTTCGGTGTAATCACATGTTTGTAAAATTGTTTGTACCTTGCAAACTTATGAACCAAACCATATTGGGTTTTCAAAGTGCCTTCGCCTCAGAAAATGTCTGCCAGCATCCAAGGTCATGTATGTTTTTCTAAGTGGATATTCTGTAATCTGCACAAAATAAGACTCTAGTTAGCGGTGTGTACAGTCTGTCTTTCTGTGAACTTCCAGCAGAGGTTTAGATATAGGGAAAGTTTCCGTTCATTGCTTTATCTCATCAAAAAAATAAAAGGTGATTTTTTTTTTTTTGCTTTTTAAATCAGATTCAATAATTACATTAAATTATTTTGTGAACTGTGTTTTCAAAACTTTGCAAATGCATCTGTTTTAGAGAGTTGTTTTGACTTACTCCACACATGTGCCAGGTTCCAGATTTCTACAACAGCTACTGTGTCTGTGACAAACTTTCCCATGTCTGTCCTTGCTGCTTTCTGTGGGTTTTGTTAATGAAGGGAGCAGGATTTTATGAATGGAGTGAAGACAGCAATGATGATGATGTGTCATTTTGCTTCTCCATTCTTCCAATGATGTCACACGCCGGGCTTGCTTGTGCGGGCCTCACACAGACAACCAGAGCTGCATGTTCCTATGCTGGGACTGTGGACGCACAAGGAAACGTGGGAACAGAACGCCCCCTAACACAGCATCTCAGGACTCACAAATAAGTTCATTTCTAGGTTCCTGTGTGTGAAAAGCAGAATTGCAATTGGAGATGACAGGTGCTCAACCAGGCCACTTACACATTCCGTCTAATGAGATGCTGATGTGGTTGGCGTTCCCATCATACTTCCTTGTCACGGTGCTTCTTCCCTTGCGACTTAGCAGGTTGCAAACTGCAGGATGGAAATGGCTGTTTAGACTGTAGATTGAGAAGCAGCACTTTCCCATGGATGCGGCAGACATTGCTGTTGGTTTTGTCTAAGTTCTAGCGTGTCCTTTTCCCTGTCTCTGACCCATGATCTGTGAACGACGCTGTGAGGAGGACTAGACTGCGCCCTTCCTGTCTTTCTGAGCTGCCCGCACCATGGGCTGCCGACTGTCCCCTTTCTGCTGACTGCCAGGCGGTGCCAGCGCTGAGAACCCTGTGGTTGACTGTGCCGAGCCGAAACCATTGTTGCGCTGTCGGAGGGGAGGTATAAAGGGCACGTCCTGAGAATGGCACTGCTGCTCCCGTGTCAGTGTGAGGAGCATCACTGAGAAGCCTGGCTGGCCTCGAGGGGGGTGGGGGTAGGTGTATGCCAGGAATAGTGTGAGGAGCATCACTGAGAAGCCTGGCTGGCCTCGGGGGGTAGGTGTATGCCAGGAAGGACAGCCAGGCGAAGGCGGGGATTTGGGATGTGCGCCCTTAGAAACCAATTGTGCGTGATTGTATTGCTATTTCCCATCTGGTGAGAATATCTGCAGTGGCCTGTAAAAGGTACGAGTGCGTTCTGAGGGTCCAGTTCTGCCTTTCGCTGAGCCCTCTGTTCCTAGTGAAGTTTTGTGCAAGTAGTAGCACCAACAACACCCTCAACACAGAGGCACGAGGGTGGCTTTCCCTTCAATGAGGCAGCGAATAGAGAGTACCAGTGACGGGAAAGTCTAATTTGCACCTGCCACCAGAGGTGGTCAGGTTGGCACAAACAGTTATGCTGGAATGAAATGCCTCTAAACGTGTGTGTGCAGCCGTAAGAAATCAGCGAGAAAAAGCAACCTTTCCTCACTCTTAGGAACTGCTTTGTCTCATCAGTGTTGTTGGCCCAGATGTATCGCTAAAGTAGCCCATTTCACTGAGGAAGACTGCTTGATTATTGTTATAAAATACACTCAGAATATCCCTCTTGTTGGGCTAACCTTTGGGGGGGAATCTCTGAGTATCTAGTACAACTTTGCCAATATTTTAAAAACCAAAATATTCTCGGAGGACAAATTTCTACTTACCTTGCCAAGTAAGCTTCCCCAAGCGGAAATATCCACACTAGTTTTGTGTTAAGTCTAGATTGTACTGCTCAAGAGGAAGGGCTTGCCCAACTCTGTGCAGCTCCCTTACCTGGCCGAGTCCCTGCGTAGGAGGGGCCGCGTGTAAATGTAGCTGCGTGTTCCCCACGGCCATCCTCACGGTCCCCCCCACCGCCTTCAGCAGGGGCCTGAGGCACTGGGGTTCCCTCGCTTCCAGGCCTCGGCATTGATGCCAGTAACCCAAATACTGTGACTTCTGTGCACTTTGTAAAGCAGCCAATCATTGACCCCAGATGCATTGGCTGGAGTCTGCTGATGTTTTTCCTACTATAACCCATTTTATAGATTGTTAACATGAGCAAAAGTATTTCATTGCTTCACACAGAATCTGACATCTAAGGCGCCCGTCCTTCGAAGCAGTCTGTTCTACCTCTCATTTTCCAGATGAGAATGTCAAGCCCCCAAAAGCTGCCTTTCATTCTAGGTCACAGAGATGAGTAGCGGCAGAGCCAATAGAACCCGGGCCTTCTGACTCCAGGTCAAGAGCTTTCCACCCCCCTGTGCCACCTCCTTGCGGGGTAGCTGCCTTTCTGTCAGTGGGACAAACAAGCCTTGTAAATAAAGGACCTCGCCCTCCATTTTTGGTAATGAACGCACTTTATAAATGGAGTTTTAGCGTCTTACTTTTCATACCTAATTATGAGGTTTAGAATAGTATTTCTGTAGTATCCTTTATGGAAGATAAAATTAAGTATTTTTACTTTTTTATTCTTTGTGAAGCCAGTTTCTGATTAAAAAATGTTTTTTGATGACATCTGTGTATTGGATGCTTCTAACATGAGTGGGTTCTGTTAACTTGCCAAGGCTAACCCAGTGGAAGGATTGCTTCGTTTCTGCTCGGTGTGCATTCTGGGAACTCGTCCTCTCAGCCTCAGGTCCTGCCTTTCCGCTTGCTCCTCTAGCACGCGGTCGCTGCAGAGCCTAGGATCGCTGCACGCTGTTCCCAGAGCCACACACATTGGGCCTTACATGTTGTCTAGAACAAAATCGATGTAATTCAGGAGGGTAAAATCCTGAACTCTTACCTGAATCCCAAATGCTAAACTGCTACTTTCAATTCTTCATAAAAGCATTACCTTGAGAAAGGTGTTCTTGTTTTCTGTCGCCATCTTCAAAACAAATTATTTCGCCCTGGCGGATGGCTCAGTTGATTAGAGCGTTTCCCAGACACGCCAAGGTTGCAGGTTCGATCCCCGGTCAGGGCACATACAGGAGTCAACCAATGAATGCAAAAATAAGTGGAACAACAAGAATCGATGTTTCTCTCTCTCTTCCCCCTTCCTCTCTAAAATCAATCATTTTCCAAGTCACAAGATCTCTGGCAAAAAAGGAAATTAGCCTTTCAGGAACATGGACTGAAAGTTTTATTCATGGGAGACTGTTTCGACCTCAGAAGCCTCAGTGATACAGCCCTCAGCCACATTCCAACGGCAATGACACAGAAAGGTGGGCTCCCACCTTTGCAAAGTGTTCCTGTGCCAGGCTCTGGCTGTGGGCTTTTCATGTGACGCATCCTCCCATCCTCTCCTGTGCATAATTCCTGCCTTTGCCCCTGAACTTCAACTGCAGGCTAAAAAGAACAGCCAGAACTCCTTTAAGCACTTTGAAGCACTTAAAAAAAAAAAAAAAAGGAAAAAGTGTTGACACTCACTGAGCAAGCTGCTAAAGGGACTGGCCTGAAGACAGCCAGTGCCCGTGGGCGTCGAGAGACGCGAGCTCATGGCTAAGAGACATGAACGTACCCGGAAGTTGCTTTTTGAGAAGTACCAATGTGTTCCAACTAAGCTTTTCAAAGGACTAACTCTCTTTCATGATCAGTAGTAATCTATGCTTAACCAGATCCCTAGACCCCAAACTGGGCATGGATTTACACTCACATGCACAGTGGCTGTGGTTAGCTGGTAGGTACTATAGGTAACAGTGGATGCCATGGGCAGGGTTGGGACAGGCTGAAGCAGTCCTATGCTGTTTATTTATTGCACAGCCCAGCTCAGCTCAGCTTCTCTTTGGCATTTTTGCACAAATAAGTGACTTTACATTCCCTTGGGCCCTTTCTTTTTTAAGTAGCTTGGTGAGCTGGTCCTTCATAACAGAGATGTGGGCCATTCTGCATGTTGGGCAGGAACTGGGCAGAGCTGGGCCTGGAACCAGGGCCACCTGGATTTTGTATCCAAGTGAGAAAGGACATCGTCTCCCTTGTTATATGGGAAGTTGCCATGTTCCTATTGCTTTAAGGACACGTAGAACACGTCATCTGTTTCATTCACCCCAGATGTACTCCCCAAAACCTCCCAAGAGATCTTGGAGGTGCCTCCATAAACACTACCTGCAGTGATTTAAATACTCCTGGGAGTTTCCCCGTTTCCCTCTTTCCTCTCTGGATTATAAATCTTAGAAGAGCTTCCCTGTATCTCCTCATTTCCGCCCTCCCCGTTGCTGCTGCCCCGGTGACTTCCCTTCTACTGGTGGAAACAAAGTCTTATTTTGAACTTGAGTATTTGAATTTTGTTTATACATCGCACATCCTGCATTGATGAGGCTCAGTGAAGATTCCTGTTAGAACTAGATGTGTCCCTGGCAAGCGGTTGCCCAGTTAGCCCACTGCTTCTAAGAGCATCGAATTCAGTGATATTTCTGCCCATGGGATATCATGCCCCAACATGTTTGAGTTTGATCAGTAAACAGAATGGGCCTTTATGTCAAATACTGTGAGGGAAACATTGCCAAATCCTTTCCTGGTATCGTCTCAGTGCCCCACAACACCTGACCTCCGGTCTTGGGTGGCCTCTAGACTGGTGGCCACGGTGGGGTTTGGGTTTGGTTCCTTTGGTGAAGACTGTGGCCTGAACACATTTCTGAGCAAACGTTTGCATGCAAGGCAAGGCGGGAATGTCAGTTTCAAAGACTGTTGTAAATTGGTTTCCACGTGCGGAAGTGAGTTCAGTACCATGAGCCTGCAACGTAGATTCGCTTTCTGTTATCTGAAGACATTCATGTGTACGTTTTGTTTAACCTCAGATGTATTTAATACGAATAAACAACTGTATCAAACTTCTAATAAAATTTGTTTAAAAATCTTTACCTGAATTGTGCCTGTCAGTTGGATGAGCCGGGAAGACGCCGAACCTCACGGTTATGAATAGATTCTAGAGGACCGGGGAGGGAAAGAGTGACTCTCGGGCCAGGAAACGGCACAAGTCAGCGGAGAGCGGTCTGGACGTGGTGAACGTCCTCACTGTGGCTCTGACTCACGATTTTCCCTCATAACCATGTCTTGGTATTTATTTCCATGAATTCAAATGGTTCCCCACCCCCATTCTCTCCGGGTGACCTCAGCGTATGGGAGTGCAGTCCTAAGTGTCTGACGTGAGCCTCCGATCTCCTTCCAGTTTTTCTGAACGTCCTCACTGTGGCTCTGACTCACGATTTTCCCCCATGACCATGTCTTGGTATTTATTTCCAGATATTTCCATGAATTCAAATGGTTCCCCACCCTCATTCTCTCCGGGTGACCTCAGCGTATAGGGAGTGCAGTCCTAAGTGTCTGATGTGAGCCTCCGATCTCCTTCCAGTTTTTTCCCCTCTAACTCAGAAGCGATTCTCTTTCAAAGAAACTTTTTCATAAAACCAGGTTCCACTCCTCCTCTTCCTCCTTCTCTGAGCGGCCTCTTCGGTGGCCGCCATCCCTGCCACACGGAGGGCCCTGTCCTGTGTGCTCCTCCCTGCTCCCACCTGCTCCCGCCTTTCCCATGGCTCCCGGGACGGGCTCCCTCCTCCCTCGGCGGCAGTTAGTCAAAGGCAACCTGCTCTCTTGTCACGTCCGTGGCGGGACTGCCAGCATCTCACACCAGCAAAGGGAAAAACAACACTGAGCTTCCCACATCTGAGGACTTCAGCATGGGTTCCTCCATTTCCTGAAGGCCCATCATAGCCCCTCTTCCTTCCTCTGCAATCTCTCTGCTTCGTCTTTCCCAGCTCACCGGCCTGTTTGCTGCCCGGGTGACCATGCACAGTCACTGGGAGGGACTGTCTGGCTGTCCGCCTGCCCCATGCCACCTCCATGCCGGGCCCTCCCACTCCCACCCTCACTGCCACCCCCAGAAATAGTCCAGCCTTGGGCAGGAAGCACAAGAAATTTCTGCTGAGTGAGGCTTTTGGCAGGCCCTTTTCAAACACCCCCACCCCGGCTTCCTGGCTGCCGCCTGCGCACTGGACTCTGACCCTGAAGTCCGCAGGCCTGTCACAGCCCCGAGAGCAGCCCGCGGCTTCCTGGCTGCCGCCTGCGCACTGGACTCTGACCCGGCTCCAGCACCTGCAGGCCGCCCTCCCGGAGTTCCCTGGGACTCGCCTCTGACCCTGAAGTCTGCAGGCCTGTCACAGCCCCGAGAGCAGCCTGTTCTGCTCACACAGGCGCAGGCACGCTATTCCCGGCAGCAGGTCACCACTGACCTTGCAAGCTGTTGTTGCTGCGCCCAGAAGCCTCCCTGTGCTGTTCTAAGGGGCGCAGTGCTCAGGGCATGAGCGCGAGGGGCTCTCTTGGGGCTCATGGAGTGCACAGTCCTCGGAGCAGCTTCAGAAATCAGTGCTCTCCCTCCCCTCGTTCACCTCATCGCCCACGATGTGGCCGTGAGCACACTGTTCACTCCTAGACCAGAGACAGCAAAGGCAGGGAGGAGCAGCAGGACAGACAGATGGAGCTGCAGCGACAGCCACTTAGTACTTTCCCTTTTGGACGGAAAAGAGAGAGGAAGCTTCAGTGGGGCTGTCACTCAAACAATCAGCTCTTCCAGCCGTATTCCAGGCTTTGAAAACAGGCCGTGAAGTTCAGGCTTAGCACATGCTACCATGTCAGTGTGAATGAATAGGTCACCCTCGTCGGATGAACATGTATGACGAGGAGTCACGCTGGAAGCACAGCGACAGCAAATGCACCAAGGCCAGCACCGCTCAGGCAGCCAGAGAACCGACCTTGTAAGAGCCCCCGCTAAGCCCAGGACTGCAGACAAAGCAACGCAAAACCCAGCACCCCCAGCACTTCCTGAGCGCAGGCGTCAGTGTTTTAAAAGGGTATAAGCAGGCAAAGGCTTCAGATTCATGTCGCAGCAGAGGTACCTTCCCAGCCCTTAGAATCCTGCGTCTCTATCGGGCATCCTAACAGGTGAGTGACGAGACGCATCGTGACTAATCCATCGTTGTCTTCAAACCCAAATTTTTAAAACTTTTATTCTGTGGTCAGCAAGTTTCCCACTTGGCTGTGAGTTGCTATTTAAAACCAAAGAGCAACTGTACATGGCTGGCTGCACATTTATATTAACAATCAATTACATAAGCCCCAAATATAGCCACATCCGAGCTCTGTAACCAGGATGTCAGCGAAGGAAGACACGGCGGTTCGGGAGGAAGTCATTCTGTGGCAGGTGAGCTGGGAGTTGGTGTGACGGAGGCCCCCACCTCGGCTTGCAGCCCTTATCCCACGGCTGCCAGGCTCACGCGACTGCAGGAGGGACCGCGTGCCTGCATGCAGGCAGCTGACTTAAGGAAGGAGGAAGGGGGTCCCGCCTGGTGCAGGCTTCAGAACGAAAAGCTGCTTTTCAACGTCTCCGGGTGGTGCCACCCTCCAGCTTCCCGCGTGGTCTGCTCCACATGTTCACATCCTGAAAAACCGCCAGGACAGCAGCAGCGGCTGACGATGGCAGAGGGAGAACTCGGGGCACAGGAAACCGAGCGTGGAGTCCACTCGCTCTTGGTCGCTTGTGCGGCGCTTCCAGGGTAAACAGGAGCCCCGTTCCCTTGGCACACACAGTTCAGGCAGGAGCACCGGGACTGAAATGAGCCTCCACACAGACGCGTCTATGTGCGGGGCTCCTCGGTGCTCTGAGGACCCGAGCTGGCCTCGGGCACGGGAAACAGACTCAGCATCTCCACCTCCAGCGGGTGCAGGCTGCCCCCCGTGATGACCAGGGAGTGCAGGGGCCCCCCCAGCGCCACAGAGCACATCTGCTGCAGCGTGCCCGCAGCGATCTGCTGGTCCTCGGCGCCTACCCGGGCCAGGCCCACGCACAGCGTCTCCTCGGTGACCGCTAGGCAAGAAAGAGAGAGACCGCCGCTCAGTTCCGCAAGCGCACTAACCTGCCGGCAGTCAAGCCAACAGCAGTGCCAACGGGACATTTAAAGGGACCCCAAATCTCGCAAATCTCCTGAGTGGCTCATTGAGGACCCACGATCTGACCTAAGTCTTTTCTAAATCGTCTGCACTCAAGGATCTCCTTACAGATTTTTCCCAGGAGGGGACAGATGCCCAAAGGCAGTCAGCGCCTTGAAACATACTGACGGGTTCCTTTAAGAACCCCCCAGCAAAACCTGCTGACAACTAACAGTTATTATATGCTATGCCCTCTGTCTAGCTGTTAGGAATAGAAGGACAAGGTCTCGTGTCTGTCCTGAAGACAACCAGCCCTGGTCGCAGTGCTGAGAATGAGAAGCAGCAGAATAAATATACTTTTGCCGGACAAACCTCACTGTGGAGTTCTGTACTGTAACTATAGCTCATTTGTGAGAAGCCCCCACTTTCTGGGATGGCACTGCTTTTACTAGAAAGAACCCCATTATTTTTCTTTCAGTACAACTCTCGGCTGCTGAGGTTTCAGCTGAGACTAGACAAGAACGAGCAGGAAGCACATAGTGACTCCCGCCTCAGTGGAGGCGGTCTATCCAGTGTACACGTCAGCTGCTCCAGCATTCACCAGTGCAGGGCTGCAGTGCATGTGTGTACATGCGTGTGTGCATGTGAGAGCCCAGGAGTGTGTGTGTGTGTGTGTGATGTGAGAGCCCAGCAGTGTGTATGTGAGATCTGAGTGTGTGATGCAAGAGCCCAGCAGTGTGTGTGTGAGATCTGAGTGTGAGATGTGAGAGCCCAGCAGGGACCCAGGTACCTGGCTCCTCTCCTCGTGCTCGCTGGTTCTGAATCACTTCCAGCAGCTGCTGGGCCGCCTGATTCACGGTCATGTAGCGAGGAGGCTCGTAGATCTTCCTGCCCCTGGGGTAGAACACAGGCTGCCGTTGGTCTTGGCCGTGAAATGCATTGTGCATATGAACGCAGCACCCCCAGGTACACTCAGGGACCACACCGGGCTGCTTGAAGCTCGGATGGCACCCACCTTACGCCGCTGTGAAAGCACCGACTCAGTGGTCTCTCCTCGGTGCCTCAAGCTTTGCTCACTGTTCTACTGCACGTGCCCTCTCGCTCACTGACATGTTGGCAGAAAAGAAAGTCCAGCAACTTGAAGATAAATGCCTAAAAGTTACCTTCATTCAAAGTGACACCTTAGGCAAAAATCATCCAAAATGAGTGCCAATTTGTTCTGTATCTCAGCTTAATTGGGTCCAATCGCGTTCATTTTCATTACCATGTTTGACCCCAAGTTCCTCTCTTCACTTCCTCCGCTAACAAAATAAACTAAACAGTAAACTTGAACATCTTGGAGAATAAGACATGTCTACGTCTGTGTGACTCAGAAGCCTACAGTGTTCCCTCAGTGATCGGAATAAAAACAGAGCGTGGCAGCTTACAAAACAGTTGCTACAGATTATTTATGACTTTCAAACCATCCTGAGGCAGCTGTCTGAAAGAAATACAGCGCAAGCCACAAGCATCGTTTTACATTTTCCAGTAGCCACATTAATAATGAAAGTTTTAAAAGGACAAAATCAATTTCAATAATGTTTTATTTAACCCAATGTATCCAAAATGTTATATTTCAACATTCACTCCTATAAAATTATTAAAGAGTTATCTTGTACCGAGTCTTTGAAATCTGTTACGAAGTCTACGCTCATAGCACATCTTGATCCAAATGCTAAATTTTCATTGGGAATATTTGCTCTGCATTTAGATTTCATAAAATTCATGGCTGTTGATAGATTTACACGTTGAAGTTGTTCTAAATCGACTGAAAAGTTTTCCAATAGCTGAGCCGATATTAGTTTTAAATGAGTGAAGTTATAAATTCAGTTCCTCAGGGACACCAGCTCTATGTCAAGTGCCATTATCATGTGGGAAGGAGCTGCGTCTCTAAGCGAGAAAGGACTGTCACTCTTACCTTCACGAGAAGAATGAGGCTCAGAGACGGAAGTTACCTGCCCGAGAGCCATAACCACGGGCAGACTGAGGCCTCACACCCCTGTCTTCTGATGCCTCATTCATTCATTCATTCATTCATTCCACAAAGAGTGCCCTGTGCCTGTCAGGTGCCGACCACCGACCACCGACCACGTGCTCACAAGTGAGCCCGTCAAGCCCACTGCCGGTTCCGCTCCATCACACGCCTTATCACTTCGTAAGATGACAAGTGGTCCAATTCTAATGGTAAGGAAAGCTGGTTTCGACAGCCTTAGAACCCGTGTCCCTGAAGCAGGCCCTATGGACTTGCTAAGGGATTAAAAGCATTCCCAGAGCAAGACTTACTTGATTAGGTTTTCCAGCGACTGCTCCTTTACTTTGATGTCTGTAGGGAAAAAAAACAAAAAAAACAGTTATCTTTGGGTGTGATTAATCCCTCTATCCACAGTCCTACGTGTGAACCTAAGTTTTGGGGCAACAGTCTTCTCAAGTTTCCAAAAAGCTCATGTGCTTGTATTGAGCTGCTTTTCAATGGAACCACGGGGAATGGGAGCTTGTGGTTGTGTGCAGGGAATTAGGAAACAAACCCAGGTTGGCCCCGAGGCCATCCTGAGGGGATCCAGTTCCTCTTGGGAGAGAAGACACAGAAGGAGTCTGACAAACACCGGCATGCGCGGCCCCTAACTCTGAATCTGCAGCTTTGCGTCCACTTCTCCCAGCTGGTGAGCAGTCTGGGTGTGCTCCTGTCCTTGCCTCGGTTAGTCGCAGTGCACGTAACACACACAGCAGGGAATTCTGACTGCATGCGGGAAGCGGCGTCTGCCTTCCTCTGAACCTTCCTCTTGGGAGGAAAAACACAGAGGGAGTCTGACAAACACCGGCATGCGCGGCCCCTAACTCTGAATCTGCAGCTTTGCGTCCACTTCTCCCAGCTGGTGAGCAGTCTGGGTGTGCCCCTGTCCTTGCCTCGGTTAGTCGCAGTGCATGTAACACACACAGCAGGGAATTCTGACTGCATGCGGAAGCGGCGTTTGCCTTCCTCTGAACGGTCAGGCGTGCCCTGATAACTTAAGAAGAAACACTTTGATACCAACAGTCATAAATGATCAGGGCTTTCCCAGCATTAGCCTGGGCCAGGCCCGGGATGCCATGGAGGCTGCCGCCCGGGTCTACCCCCAGGAAGCCCGGCCGTCCGCGCATCACACACACTGGGTGCTCTGGCGCTCAGCTGCACTAGTTGGTAAAAGGTAGAAGGCAGACTCCCTCCCCGGCCTCAGGGGAACTCGGAATACAGTGGCAACAGCTGCTTCCTCTCCACAGGCTCACAACACGCAGGTCAGCCAGAGTTTGCTTTTGCAACAATAAACAGAGCGCAGCGGAGGGCTTGCGATGGCCCCTTCAGTGCTCCCAAGTGAGTGTGAACGTTTTTCTTAGAAAGGGTACTTACTGTAAGGTTTTTCAGAATTGAACCCATCCATTCATTCATTCATTCATTCATTCACCTGGAGCTTCTAGACTGGCATTTGCTATAGTAAAGATTGTAATTTAAGATTTCCTGTCTTTTTTTTAATGATATGCTCTACAGAATTGTATTTTAAAAATGAAGAGGATTGCCCTGGCCAGTTTTGCTCAGCGGTTAGCATCAGCCCGCAGACCAAAGGGTTGCAGGTTGATGTGCAGTGTGCATAGGAATTTGTTCATAGTTTTTTTTTAAACTATAGTCCGGCCCTCCAACGGTCTGAGGGACAGTGAACTGGCCCCCTGTTTAAAAAGTTTGAGGACCCCTGCTCTACAGAATTGTATTTTAAAAATGAAGAGGACTGCCCTGGCCAGTTTGGCTCAGAGGTTAGCATCAGCCTGCAGACCAAAGGGTTGCAGGTTCAATTCCTGGACAAGGGCACGTACCTCAGTTGCAGGTTCGTCCCCGGCCCCTGTCAGGGCACATGTCGATGTTTCTCTTTCCCCTCCTCCTCTACCTCTCTCCCCTTCTCTCTAAAAAAAATGGGAAAAAATATCCTCAAGTGAGGATTAAAAAAAAAAAAAATGAAGAGGCTTGGGAGAATTTTCATAGGTAAATGCTTTGAAATTGAATGTAAGTGGTTTCATCTCAAGCCAGACCAGTTTAGTATTTGTCCCTGTCGCGACACAGGCCGCAGTCCCTCCTCTCCTACGCGCTGGCACAGGAGCTTCTGCTTAGCTCAGAGCCAGGGCCCAGAGTGGCACAGAGGGTAGACACTGCACACACGCCTCCTGAATAGGTGTGCTCTCCGCTCGCCCACCACCCCCCCTCCCCCACCCCCACCCTGC